CGAGACAGGTTCCTTATGGCTTTCACTTCCCCGCGTCGGAATCAGCCATTACCCCGCAGATAACTCAGCACCAAACACACTTTAAACAGGCAATCAGACTAGGAGACGGTAGCAGACGCGCCACTGGTGTCTACTGCGAGCCATGTCCTGTAAAGTCTCGAGCCAAGCACAAGGCGAGTCACGTGGACTCCAGCCCGGAAGGCGAGACGGACCAACGGTACCCAGTTTGGTCGTCAGTGACTTCATTTCCCGTTGCCAAGTCAACTTCTGTCCACGTCGAGCCTTGCGCCACCCTACACCTGACAAACAAAACAAGGCCCTCCTAGGTAAACGGTGACCAGGCATACGTAGCACCTGCCCCAGCCAACGCAACTTATTCAGTGCTATCTGTTGTTCTAGGGAGCTAGCATGATTATCACCACCTAGTACTCGTCTACGCACATCATCGTTGCGGACACACTGGTGCCATCCGACTCCAGCAATGCTTCGCAGGCAACGATGATCAAAGACTTGAAGGCGCCTCAGATCTTCAGACCGAAGGGGCCAAGTCTCACTACCATACAGCAGAACGGCCCTTACTGTGGCCTTGGATACACGGCCTTTCAGGCGGAGGGAAACTCCCTTTTGTCGCCAAAGATGCCGCAGGTTCAAGAAGGCAACTCTGGTCCTTGCAATGCGTGAGCTGACGTCAGTTTCTATGCACCCATCATTGCTGACGCAGCTGCCAAGATAAGTTAATTGATCAACCACCTCGAGTTCCTCATTAGTAAGGGTCACGAAGACATAAAGTGGCTGGTGGTCCTGCAGCAACACTGCATTTCGAACGCGCGAAGTGTATACTAAGTAAGGGGACCATTAGACAGGCTATTCAGGATTGTTTGTGCCGCCACAACATCGTCGAAAAACAAGACGATATCGTCCGCATAATCATGAGCAAGTAATCTTTCACCAGGCAGCACTTCAACGACTACATAGTGAGATTCCGCAAGGGAACACTCCATGAGAGTCCACGACGAGAATGAACAAAAATGGGGAAATCGGACAACCCTGACGAACGCCACTTGTAGTCGTAAAGCTATCCGATAGGCCACCGTAGACCCTGACGCGGCCTGCAGTGTTCGAGTATAGAGCATGAAGAATGTTCACATATCTCGTGGGAACATCTTTCCGAGCAAGTATTTCGAACAGAATCGACCGATCGACTGAAACGAACGCACTCTTGAAATCGAGAAACACAGATGTTGTCGGTCTGCGGCATGCGTGGCACTGCTCCAGCACCTGCCGTAAAGTGAATATATGGTCTGTGCAGCCACGTCCCGGCCGGAAACGGGCCTGCTCTTCCCTAATCCGAGATTCCCATTCCACAGTGAGGCGACGAACGAGAATCGAAACCAGTAATTTTGTCACAATTGGCGTTAGGCTAATACCCTTGTGGTTCGCACAGTCTGTGCGACTGCGTTTATTCTATATTACCATTATAATCGATTCGCTCCAATTAGCCGGGACGCCCTCTTCTTTCCAGATACATTCGAATAGGGAGGTCAGTGCTTTGCAGAGGGCCTCACCTCCATCCTTAAATAGTGCAGGTGGGAGGGAATACGAGCCAGTGTCACGAAAACGATTGAGGGCTGTGATCGCTTTTCGGACCTCAACCTCCGACGGGGCTCTATACTAACCATCCATGGATTGTCCACAGTCACCTGAGTAGGAAGAAGTCCGGGAGCAGGGGGCCAGCTGAACTGATCTTGAAAGTGTTCCGCCCCACGAGCCATACGGCGCTCCTTATTGTGTATCAGCGCACCTGCGCTATCTCTGATTGTCTCACGGACGACTGGTTTTCTGGGACCAGTTGTGCGGATAAGCTGGAACAGCTTGTGGTAAATGCCTACTGCTCCTGCCTCATCCACTTCTTGAGCCCTACCGGTCCACTAGGTATCCTTATCAGCACGTAGGCTCCGCTTTAGTTCGCGCCTAACAGCCCATTTGGTCACATTTTGCTTAGAGCCAGTCGGGAGGTTTCTCTCAGATTCCAACAGGTTCACGGACCTCTCGGATATCCAGTGACTGGTGCGGTGACGATGATGCTATAACGGCGCCAGAGCTACCGCGGGGCAAGGTTAGCTGTGTTCTTCCACTTCAGGAGCGTTCGATGCACTTGGTTCGAAATACCTTGGCCGAAAGGTATTCCCATGTAATATGTGAACATTGTATGTACTCTGTACTCGAACACCAAAGTCCGCTTCAGGTTCTACAGTGATTTGTCGGATGACTTTCCGATATCAAGTGCTGTTCGTCAGGGTTGCCCAGTTTCTCTATTTTTGTTCTACTTCATCGTGGACTCTATCTTGGATGATTTTTTTTCGAAGCAGCACAGTGCAGGCGTTTGAGGTGCTGCCTGGTTAAAAGCTATTTGCTCTTGATTATGCGGACGATATTGCTTTGCTTTTTAACCATGTTAGTGCAGCGCATTCAACCCTGGATAACCTATCTATAGTGGTCCCGTCATTTAGCATGCGCTTCAAACCTTCAAAATGCAATGTGTTGCTGCAGGACCACCAGCCACTCCATGATCCTTTGACCCTTGATGGCGAAGAACTCGAGGTGGTTGATCAGCTCACTTACCTTGGCAGCTGTATCAGCAACGACTTGTGCATAGCAACTAAAGTCGGTTCACGCATTTCAAAAGCTAGGACTGCCTTTTTGAGTCTGCGGCGTCTGTGGCGTCAGAAAGGGTTTCTCTCCGTCTGAAAGGCCGTGTTTACAAGACCACAATGAGGGCCGTCCTACTCTATGGAAGCGAGACAGCCCCTCCGATCTGAGCACCGGCGGCGCCTTCAAGTTTACGAAGCATATCTGATGTCGGATAGCACCAGCGTGTCCTCAACGATGATGTGCGTATGCAAGTATTAGGCAGTGATAACCAAGCTGCCTTAGAACAACAGATAGCACTGAATAAGTTGCATTGGCTCGGGCACATGCTAAGGATGCCTGGTCATCGCTTACCTCGGAGGGACTTGTTTAGTCTGCCAGATGTAGAGTGGCGCAAGACCGGAGGTGGGCATAAGGTAACTTGGCAGCGGGAAATGAAATCACTGACAACCATACTCGGTGCCGTTTGTCCGTCTCGCCTTCCAGGCTGGAGTCCACGTGACCCACCTTGTGGTTGGCTCGAGACTTTAAAGGATATGGCTCGCAGTCGACATCATTGACTTGCCTACTGTCGTCTCCTAGTCGAATTGCCTGTTTAAAGTGTGTTTGATGGTGAGTTATCTGCGGGGTAATGGCTGATTATGACGCGCAGCAGTGGAAGCCGCAAGGGAGCTGTCTCGCTGATGCCGCCTTATCCTTGCACGATAGCCAGTTGTTTGTGACGATATGTTGTTGACAAGCGTAGGCGCCTTGTTTCTGAGTGTTTGTTTATGGCAATAATGTTTTACCGTAGGCCTCCCTTTTCTCCCTCTTATTATTTTTCTTTCCGTAGGTAGTTGTGCTTGTACGACAACAAAGCATCATTTATAGTGCTTAATGTACTGTTTTTGTTGATTATGATGCTGACTCCAACATGAGCGCTCACTCGTCATATGGCTGACTAATCCGCTTCTCAGATGCTGCAAATCACGCTGTTCCTCTTGTGTGCCGAGCCGGATTAGTCCTGCGCTAAGGGCCTTCGTCTGTTTGGCCTCCGGTCCGTCATTACCGCGATCATTTCCTTCGCCCCAGGTTTGGGTTGCCATCACAATGGGGAATGCGAGTATTCTATTCAAGGAGCTGGTTTGCTGAGCCAGTTTAGGTAGATCATTCACGCCGAACGCAACGCGCCCGAGTTTTTGCCGCGCCACACTCTATTCGTTCGTACCGGACCGGTTTGGAGACGACCACGTTGTGATCAGTTTCGACCTGTCGCGCATCCATCGAACCTATCAGGTTTTTCACCCATGACTGCCAGCGATTTACGCCACCAGTCAGCAGCAGATGCCACTTGGCCACGGGGACAGCGGTGGGTCGTCCTGCTTAATGAACTACCGATATAGCGCGTCATATCCTCTACTGCAACGTTCGTCACTTGCATGGCAGTGCAGTGGTGCAGCGCACGCCACCCATGATCCATGTTTAGGCACAGGCGTCATGTGGTTGTCCCATTGAGGCCGCTGTAATCAGCAAATCTTGAACGGGACGCCGCCAACTATATATATATATATATATATATATATATATATATATATATATATATATATATATATATATATATATATTGCCTAAAAGATACGGGATAAACGGCAATTAGCCGATTGATAGGTGACGTTAAAGCTTTGCACATTAACACATTAACAAAGTATGACCCATTCAATTTCTATAAACCGCGTAATCCATGCACGTTATTTCTGCCTGTCCCTTTCCCTTCCTACTCTCTCTCTCTCACTCTATATATATACATATATATATATATATATATATATATATATATATATATATATATATATATATATATATATATATGTATATATATAGAGTGAGAGAGAGAGAGTAGGAAGGGAAAGGGACAGGCAGCAATAACGTGCATGGATTACGCGGTTTATAGAAATTGAATGGGTCATACTTTGTTAATGTGTTAATGTGCAAAGCTTTAACGTCACCTATCAATCGGCTAATTGCCGTTTATCCCGTATCTGTTAGGCAATAGTCAAGGTACGCACGCAGCACAGAGGTTTTGTGCTGTGTCAGCAACTGCAGAGGTTTTATAACGGCAGCCTTAAGATGCGCTTTTTCGCTCACGCACACAACTGTAACAGTTGTACTAGGAATGCTGGCCACATCATATAGGAACTGTTGAGATGGTCTACTCATGTATCGTTGCCGCGTCATGCCCTATCTTATGAAGGTTTTTGTGCTCTGTCTATTACTTAATCTCGATCGTACCCTCTTGGTTTAATCAACTGGTGGCATTTCCTATACAGCCTTCATTCTCTGATCTCTGTTTTAATTTGTTGACCCCTTTTTTGTAGTGGTGGCTCCTCGGATGGCTACAAAAAAGGCTCATACTAGCGCCACAAAAGCCTTACAAAATGAATTAATCGATTTAAACACTTCTCCAGTAGAGGGGTTCAAGGTGAATCCTTCGGCACTCGAAAATATGTTTGTCTGGGATGTGGCAATATTTGGGCCGCCGATGACCCTTTATGAGGGGGGTTATTTTAAGGTAATTCTGCTAATCGTTTCTTAAGCTTAGGCTCGTCTCTATTTCCCCACTGATTATCCCTATAATCCTCCTTCAGTACAATTTTTGACAAAAATGTTTCATCCCAACATATATGAAAATGGCGAAGTCTGCATATCGATTTTACACTCACCGGGTGACGATCCTCAAAGTGGGGAACTTGCTTCTGAAAGATGGAACCCGACGCAGACTGTGCGGTATGTTTCTCTTGCAGGTCTTGCAACCAATTCGCTAACAGCACCATATTGTTAAGTGTTATCTCCCTGCTGAACGAACCAAACATTCACTCTGCTGCTCACGTTGAAGCGTCTGTTTCATACCGAAAATGGATAGAATCCGGCGGAAAGGATGACGAGTATGAACGCATCGTAAGGTGAGTTCCATGCACTCGTCAGCTTCTATGCTGACGCCATTTGCACTACATTTCCCATGAATGCTAGCCGAAGTCTGTGCCATCGCAGTCGTTTCTCACATGTCTTAGGGGTTCATGATGTAACAAGCTATTCCGCATGAAGCGTTCTTCAAGGAAAGCACGTCGTCTAAGTAGCCCACGAGTGTTTTCCTTGGTAATATTTTGGTCGCTGATGATCCTTTATGAGCGGATTATTTTAAGACAATTCTGATGACCGTTTCTAACCCTAAGTCTTACTTCAAAGAAGGCACATCATTTAAATAGCCCACGATTGTCTTTCTTGTTAAACCGACCTTTGGAGTTATAGGATTAGCATTTAGGATTATTATATCTCTTGAAATTGAGGTGTATGAATCGAATGTTTCGCACAGCAGTCTTACTTGTTTAAGGCTGTTCGCTTTCTCTTTATTGTCTGACGCAGACACGTCAAATGGTTTAAGCCCAGTAGCTCGTTGTTATATCCACTTAAATTTGCTCGCGTCGCGTTAACCACATTTTTCACCAACGACGAGCAATGTGTCGATTGCGAAAACGAATGGGAAGTTAACCTGAACAAGTCAGAGCGAATGTCATAGTAATCGGATCTGAAAAGCAGCACAGTTGAGAGCCCAGCGTATGGGGGTCACTGGGTCTCTCACTTTGTTATTTCGATCAGGGGTTTAAACCACCTGTGGATTCAGTCCTTTCTCACAATTCACCAGGATGTCACTCATTAATCCAGCTTTATCGTGCTAACAAAATGCCACCTAGACTGATTCATTCGCGTACGATCTTGGACACCAGCACTATCCGATATGGTCGGTTTGTAAGATATGCGAACCACGTGATGCAGCGACTCAAGTTAGACAGAAAAACGTGCAGCACCAGGTTGCCCCGGCAAATAGGACCAGTCTTTCGTATACGGTAGTCGTTAGAGACGAACATTCTACCTACCTCTTTGGTGTGGAATTATGGTACGTCTGTTCCATATCACAACACTGGCCGCACTACGACATTGTTCGCTCTGTTCTTCGCCAATAAACTATCTTATTCAAACTTTTTTTGATGCACTAAAACCCATATGTTCTTCTTATTATATGCGATAATCCTTCATCATCTGGCTACCAAATGTGGTACACTCAGCTAGGTACCTGAGGCATTCAGACGTATTATGTGGTTATTTGACGATAACTAGTGCTGGTGAAGTACAATTGTGAATCTGCTCCATAACCGAACCGAGGTTCAGTTCGTATTGTGGACCCTTGTCAGTTTGTTCCACACCAGTTACCCACTTCCTTTCTCTTCATTCAAACGATGTTTTGGCTTCTGCTTGTTAAATCAACCTACCGGAAAGCTATCGACCATTTACCCTATCCGTCCCAGCTTCATTCAGCGACTTACAAACCCAAACGACCTCTCCATTCGCAAATAGTTTCAATCTTATTTTTTGTTTCTAGAGCGCCTACGCAATTTACTGCGTTACGTGTGTTACCTTGTTAATGGATTTGGATTCATTCTTAACCGTCAAGTTAATGATTAGGGGTCAGAAAAGCTCAGTCTTTGCATCCCTGTCCTAAACGTTCACTAATAGAGCGGTGCTCCCTCTACTTTGCAATTCAGCCGCAAGAGACAACAGTTCACTGATTATAAGGTCAGATCAATCGGCTCGATATGGACAGAAGTTGACTTGGCAACGGGAAATGAAGTCACTGACGACCAAACTGGGTGCCGTTGGTCCGTCTCGCCTTCCTGGCTTGAGTCCACGTAACTCGACTTGTGCTTGTCTCGAGACTTTACAGGACATGGTTCGCAGTAGACACCAGTGGCGCGTCTGCTGCCGTCTCCTAATCGGATTGCCTGTTTAAAGTGTGTTTGGTGCTGAGTTATCTGCGGGGTAATGGCTGATTCTGACGCGAGGCAGTGAAAGCTATAAGGAAGCTGTGTCGCCGATGCCGCCTTATCTTTGCACGATAGCCAGCTGTTTGTGACGGAATGTTGTCTATACAAGGTGTAGGCGCCTTGACCCTGAATGTTTGCTTAGGGCATTGAGGTTTTCAGGTAAGTCCCCTTTCTCTCCCTCTTATTACTCTATTTCATAAGTCATCATGGTTGTATGGCAGCGAAACATCAGTTCAAATGGCTGATGTACTACTGTTTTCGATTGTTGATTGATTGCTCCCGTGGCTTTATTCAACTTCAATAGTCCGATTTCATCTTCGACTTCTGAGCTAGACGGCGGATCCAAAGGGACAGCCCAGGGAGCATGGCAATCACTGGCCGGGGAGGGGAATCTAACAATTCCGGCTCCCAACCTGGAGGACCAGGAGGCTGAGTTTTGTCTGGCCTCTAACCATTGACTAATCTGGTATGAGTGGCTCTGAAAGTGCAAAATACACTATCTAGCATAGCTCAATGGACCTCTGGGGCACGCAAACCATCGTTCCACTATATAGACCAGCCTTATTGCTTCCCCGATGCATACATACAAGGCTTCAGTGATCTAGCTAACGTTCGACTACGCGACTCTGATTCCAGGGACGATAGGCTTACTTTTCGCGTCTCTGTTGGTATTGAATTGATTGCTGCCTATGCGTTGTTGCTCTTGCACTTAGCATTAGGACTAGATGTGGCCTTTTCGGATAGCATGCGCATTGTTCGGCTTCACATGTTTACCAACTTCAGTAAGTGACGTATGTGGACAAAATGCCTTTTTGTTGTTTCCTCATCCGATTCTACGATGGTTATTCTAGAGGTAATCAATTGCAACTTCAGTCGACAACCTTCACCTCACTTTGTGTCTAAGAACGCGGTTATCATGATCGTGACTATACCATTTTTCATTGAAGTTGGACATTCGGGCAAAACATTTACGCCTGGAGGTCAACGCCAAGCGTCTGAGGTCCTATTTGCTGAAGGCGCTTGGTCAATGAAACAGCCCCTACCCTGCCAGTGAGTGGTTCTATTCCGCATAGCGAAGACTCAACTTGATTGCCCCGGAGGAGCAACCCCGTTGACCCCCAGGCGTAAATGTGTTGCCCGAATGTCCAACTTCAATGGAAAATGGTATAGTGGCATGCCTACCATAGTTGATACCTTACCGGAGTCTTTGCAGTGTCTAATTGGTGGGTGCTCATCACCCCGGTGCTGACGTTCGGTCTCCCTGATTACGTGTCGACCACATTCTTCCATCGATGATGTTCGCATCGTCTGACGACGCAAATCGGAGGTGCTGCACGCATTGATGAGTACTTATCGATAAACACCTACGTGAGTCCGGATCTTGCCTTCGTACACCCTCGCATAGCAATTATTTTCTGGTTTTAGCATTGTTCATCATCATCTTATCAGCAGCAGTACATCAGCCATTTGCAGCCATGTTTCGCTGCCATACAACCACAACGACCTACAGAATGAAGAATAATAAGAGGGAGCGAAGGGGGACTTACCTGAAAACCCCAATGCTTTTAACAAACATTCATAGTCAAGGCGCCTAAACGTTGTCAATAACATACTGTCACGAACAACTGGATATCATTCAAAGATAAGGCGGAAAAACTCAGAGAGCTTCCTTATGGCTTCCACTGTCCCGCGTCATAATCAGCCTTTACCTCACAGATAACTCAGCATCGAACACACTTTAAACAGGCAGTGTCGATTGCGGCCCACGTCCTGTAAACTCTTGGGTCATGACCAAGACGAATCACGTGGACTCCAGTCTGGAAAATGAGTCGGACCGACGGTACCATGTTTGGTTGTCAGTGATTTCATTTCCTTCTGCCAAGTTAACTTTTGTTCACCCTACTTCTAGATCACATGCCTGTCACTTGAAGTCATCACTCGACGAACAACCTTATTAAACCTTATCTTGTCTCTAGCTGTCTCTTTTGGATATGAAGAATGTGTTGGTTAGCAACTGGAATCGTTCCTAATGTGTCATGATTACAATTGCATAGAATCTGGTAAAACATAAGGTCATCACGCAAACCCGGATAGCATTCATTGAAAACTCCTGGAATACACAGCCGCTGTTCTTAAGGTTATTAGTATGGCCTTCTAACATTGTTGGTAGCCGGGCGTTGTGGAATCTCCACGACAGTGAAATCCCGCTTGTGCCAAGGTTGCCGTGTTCGAATCACGTACTTAACGCAAGGGCGTACGCATGCAGCCGGAAAAAATTAGATGAATCGAAGTGACTAGTAGCTCTTTAAGAAACTCAAGTTTTTGATGCTATTTCAGATTGTTCCAAACCACTAATATCTTCTTTGATTAGCACACCGAAATCTTTTTCACAATGCTGCTTATTTGTGATTTCCGCTTATGGCTCGCCGACTGCAGTTCTAATGCTGCCAAGTACACCTACCACGAACTGGACACGCTCGTACGCATCGTTACCAGTTCAGAAATCGTTATTGTTACGTGGGATGGGAATGCGCAAATATCTCGCCTGCTCTCTTCGGAAACTACGTTAGTTTGTAAGTATCTGCTTAAATCCGTACCAACGGACAATGGCGATCGTCTGTCACGTATTTGGTGCAGGAAGAGCGAGTGAACCGCTCAGCACCATTATATCACGCACCAGGCTCCGATGGCTGGGCCACGTGTTGCGCATGCCAGCACACCGACTCCCGCGGCGTGCATTGTTTGTGCGTTGTGGGTGCGGTTGGAAGAGGAGGAGGAGAGGCCAAGTGATGACTTGGTCGAGAGAAATGAAAACCCTCACTTCGAAGTTGACGTCGGTTGGTGCATCCCGACTGCCTGGCTGGGGTCCTAAGGACGGTGAACACGTTTGGTTGGACACACTTGCTGATATGGCTTAGAGCCAGCCCCAATACCGTTTGTGTTGTGAGTTCCTTTGTCCATCCCCTCCAGTTTAGCATCCCCCTCCAATCACGATCTCACTTGTTAGGCATAATACGACTCTTTTACGGCAGCCAGCTGTTAGCTCTCCGGGACGATGTCCATCCGTTACTGGGGACTCAACC